AGACCCTGTCTCAAAAAAAAAAAAATCAAATGTACAGTGGGTTTGCTCTATAACACAACTAGCCTGATCCTCTTCCAAAGTTCAGAGTTCTTTTTTTAAAAGGTAAAGGGAGATTATTTTAGATTAAAGAAGATGTAAGCAAATACATCTCTTAAAATCCATGATCTTTGGTTGGATCCGATTCAAAGGAAAATCAGATCAGTGATACACATTTTGGGACAATGGAGAAATTTGAATATAGATGGTTATTTGATCGATAATGTCATACTCAGTTGTAATAATAGTGTCGTGGTGATGAAGGAAGATTTCCTTGTGGCTCAAGAGCTATGCTCACATGTTTAGGAGTAAGGTTTCATGATGTCTACTTTGAAAGAGTTTATAAAATATGTATATGAAATAAGGCAAAATATTAACTATTATTGAATCTAGATGGTGGGTTTTGGGATGTTCCTGACCTTTTTCTAGTTTCCTGAATGTTTGAAATGTTTCAGATTATCTAAGTGGTGTTAATAATGAAGGAGTCATCTCAGGGAGAGAAGTACTGAAGGGCATCGTAGGTCTTCCTGAACCTGCTTTGTAGTTTGGGAGGAGGCTTTGCTGGAAGAGAGCCACACAGGTGGTGGGTGGGGTCCACAGTGAAGTAGAGTTCACCTGCCCGGAGGTCCTGATGGCTCACCAAGCCACATAGAGGCATTTTCCCAGGCTCCTCCATGAATGGTCTCGTAATAGCTGTGGGAGAGGGCTTCCCACTGTTACGCACCAGACCACAGACTCCCCTTGGCAGCTGTGGGGAAGCTCAAGTCGCCTTGGCTATGAATCCCCTGGAAAACAAGTGAGGCTGGATAGTTTTACAGTAAAAATCTCTCATTGAATATTTGCTCTCAGTGTCTTGGGACTGTGAACTGTAACAACCCAAATAAATGACCCCTCCCTTAAAACCATTACTCATTGGAGCACGGTACTACTTGAAACTAATCTACTGCCTTGCTAAGCCAGGATGGAATTTGTTCAACTCATATTTGAGTTTTTTTGTCGTAATTTTTGCCTTTCTGTTTATGAAGACTGCAAATTTCTAGTACAGCCATTTTGGAGCAGCTTATTTTAGACAGAATATGAAATAAAATAGTAGCAGGACTCATTTGTCCTTTCTTTCTTTCATAAGCATTACTGATCACCTCCCCATTTTTTTTTTTTTTAAAGAGACTTAATAGTTTTTGATGAACAACTTAGGTAAGCCAGAAGAAAGTTAGTGTGGTAAAAAGTAATCATTTGAGGCTTCATTGCCGCTTTGGAGGTTGTTTGTAGAAGGATAGGGAGAAGTACAACAGCTTTTTACGACATACAGAAAGCAAATGGTGGCACAAGAACTGGAGACTTTTGAGGCTGCTTGGGGGCCAGGGGAGAAGATGGGATCTTGCTGAAACTAGATGATTGTGTTACATTAAGCAATTCAAAAATAAAAATAACAATTGTTTCTGGAAATGCACATATCCACAGACGCCTAGTGGTAAGATGTTTCTATTGCAAAGCTTTCTCTCCCTCTAACCCAGGTCTCTTCCTGTGTCTAAAGACAGCCTTCTCAGATTTAGGAGGACCACAATCGCCAGCAAGAAAACAGGCATACTGAAATGTGATTTGCAAGTGCCTTATACTCTTAATACGCTCATCCAGTAGTTTTCAAAGGAGAAGATGATCACTTTATGATTTCCATTTGCTCTTCTGACAAGTTTTCTGCATTTAAAATGCCAGCATAACAAGCTGGGAGCTGGTGCCCCAAGTAGGAAAAGCAAAAGGCCTCTTGGATTCTTTGCCAAATTGCTGTTTAGCTTTAGAGAGTAGTGGAACTTTGCTTTAGCCCTGGGTAAGTACAAAATCTCAGTGGCTTCCTGAACTCTGTGAAGGCGATTTCATTAAGAGCAAAGATAAGAATGTAGTCTTTATCATTGCCTGTTATCTATAAATAAATGGAATACATCTTCCTAAGCATTTCAGTTCAGTATGTTTCAAGCACCAATACTTTTCTCTGTTTGTATATCAAATTTAGTTTGCCATAAGAACTGACATAGTACCTTTTGTGTTTAATCTCTCCTTAAGTTTCTCATTAAACAATAAAGTTTCATATGACCAGTGGAATTTGGACTAAGCAGGTGCAAATCTTTTTTACATGTTAAACTTGCCATTTCTCTTGTAGGTGCCATTTGAGCAGGTATTCCACTGAAACCACTAATAACAATATGCCATTTAGAAATGATTCCTTTTAACCTAGTTCTGTCCTAGGAGTGGGAGGTGTAGGGGTCAAGGTTTCAATAAACTAATTTCTCCTACTAATTTCCGTAACAAATCACTTGAAATCTGCCTTTTACTGCTTTCTTTTTCTATAGGGGAAAGTGTCATACTGAGACTTGATTGTTCAGCAGTCCAAATAGGATTTAGTTATCACTCAAATAGTATCTTCAGATACCAGGCTTCCTGGACTCAAAACTGTAGCTTTCATGGTCAACTTCAGATGTAGCCCCTTCCTGATAATTTTTATTTTTTTTTTTTTTTTTAAGATAGGATCTTGCTTTGTCGCCCAGGCTGGAGTACAGTGGTGATCATAGCTCACTGCAGCCTTGAAGTTCTAAACTCAAGCAATCCTCCTGCCTCAGCCCCCTGAGTAGCTGGGACTACAGACATGTACCACCATGCCCAGCATTTTTTTTGTATTTTTTGAATGGAGGTGGGGTCTCAGTATGTTTCAAAGGCTGGTCTCGAGCTCATGGCCTCAAGCAATCCTCCCACTGTGGGCCCTCAAAGTACTGAGATTACAGGCATGAGCACCACACTGGGACCGATAATAACATTTTATTGCTAAAGATTTTGTATAGGAAGAATATTTTTGAAATTTTGAACATGCCTCCTGAATCTTAATCACTTAGACCTATAGATCAGCAAAGGTAGAATAACTTAGATATTATATATTTTTTTCTCAGTTCTTTGGAAGACTTGCATTATAAATTAATACTTGAAAAACACTTTTAAATTTTGCTATATGTGTTTGTGAGTCGCAAATTGTTAAAGATTCCACTTCTTCCCTCAGCAGTTGGACAAATAAACAGATGTAGGAATGACTTCCATTCTCTCAGTGACCTAAGAAATAACATATTTGTTTTAAAGCACTCAGAGTAATGTCAGTGGTGTGTATATTTTGTTTGACATTTTAAGCAGAAGAAAGCCACATGACTGAAATGCAATCTATTTTCAAGTGTGTTAGGAAAAAATATATTTTATCTCAGTAAATCCGGAGATTATCCTTTCATAGATGTCACTGTTATTGCACAATCTGCATGACTAAAGCAATTGTTCTGTCAGAACCATCGCTTGTTTAGACAGCATCAAGTCTGGGGTCACTGATGTCCTGGGTCTTTCTACAGGAGTGTCAGAAGGATACTGAATATGAAAGTGGAAACTTCTTTAATTGTATTCTTTACCTAAGGTATTGCAGAACAACCATAGTCATGGACTTTGGAGAATCTGACAGTCCTAGAGATTACTTCCTGCAACTCTTGGCCGCTCCAGTTTGACACAGGGGTACCCTCACCCTGCTCTGGGGGACCTTTTGCTTCTGATTCTTCTACCAAATAACTTGACTGCTGACTGCGATAACCAGGAACAGTTTTACTATGATTTTAGGAAAATCATCAATAAAGTAGTTTATACCTGGAGGGAAGCCAGAAGAGAGGAGGAAGGGAGGGAGGAAGGAATTAAGCTGGCACTTTCTGTGACCCATCTGAAAATCTGTTGCCACCCTGTAACATGAATGATAATGTCTCCATTTTCACACATGGCATTTACTCTTCGGGGTCAGGCTTCTTTCATGTAACATTATGTTTGTGAGATGTATTTCTGTTATTACCTGTAACTGTAGCTCATTCATTTTTAGAGGCAATATAGTATTTCAGTGTGTGACTGTATCCCCATTAAAAAATTTACTGTTGATGGATATTTGCATTGGTTCCAGGTTGAGACTGTTGTGAAGAGTGCTATTGTGAACACTGTATCTTCATACCTAAGTTCAGCTTTAGATACTCAAGCATTTTTTTCAAAGTGGCTGTACCAATTTGTATTCCTGCCAGCAGCGTATGAGAATTCCAGTTGTCCTACATTCTTGCCAACACTTAATGCTCTGTCTCTTTCACTTAGGCCACTCTGGTGAGTTGGAGAAATTAGTTTTTTACTCATGTCCCATTTCTTTTCATCTCATTCTATATAAAGATTTTGACATACTTGAATTAATTTATTTATAGGCAAAATACATCCATGCTCAAATGGGTATGAACTGCTTCTTTTTATGAGCTAATAAGCAGTGAGTATCAGAAGGTGGCTAAGATCTATTTGCAAGCTCCAACTGAATTATCCCATCTGAAAGTTCTAATTTTCAGGCACATTAGACCTCTTCATTTATTTCATTTTACCGTTGAAGTAGCTGAGACACTTCAGGGAGTAGGGACTATGCCAGGCGTCATAGTCAGGCCTCCTGGAAGAGGCAAGATAGTAATGTTCACCCTTACCACTCAAGAGAAGCCCTCTGTTAATTCCTTTATTCTTTTGTTTACTAATTATTATTATTTTAGATAGAGTCTCACTCTGTCACCCAGGCTAGAGTGCAGTGATCTTAGCTCACTACAACCTCCACTTCCCAGGTTCAAACAATTCTTCTGCCTTAGCCCCCTGAGTAGCTGGGATTACAGGTGCCCGCCACCTCACCCGGCTAGTTTTTGTATTTTTAATAGAGACAGGGTTTCACTGTGGTGGCCAGGCTGGTCTCGAACTTCTGACCTCAAGTGATCCGCCTGTCTTGGCCTTCCAAAGTGTTAGGATTACAGGCGTGAGTCACCGTGCGCAGCCTCATTTACTAAATAATTACTGAATGCATCTTATATGGCAGGCACCGGGCCGAACCTGAGATTTAGTGGCAAACAAACTTTTAACTTAGTGTGATATTCCCTTTCACTTTACAGGTTATGGCTTTCAAATCACAGCCTATTTTCTCAAGAGAGGGATACGTCTTCGCTGCATCAGGAGCTCACAGAATGCTGGTAAGAAGCCGATTTCTTGGTTTATCAGACATTTCACACAATCTGCTTGCCCTAGATAAAGAAGGGATGAAAATTAAGGAATGGAGAGTCCTGCTTGTTTCATTGCCTTCATGTCCTTGAGTGTGTCCGAAAGTTTGTGATTTCTTTCCTCCCAGCTTGTACTGTGTTTACTGCCTCTCTGAGAACACTGAGCCGGGCCACATCATGCTTTCCTTTCCTGATGCATCTCAGCACTTTCTTTGAGTTTTCAGAGTGACTCAACACAGTTGAACTATGAATCACTTCAGTATTGTCTGTGTACACCAAGGCCCTGGCATATGGAGCAGGTGTGTACACAAGAAAGCTCTTTCCCAGCCCAGAGCTCTCAGAGCTTTCCCTAGGTGTGTGATGAGGCCACTTTCCCACGTCACTTCCCCAAGTCTAGATGTCCCCTAAGGATATGATTTTAAACTTGTCCAGCCAGCAACAGTAAAGTCAGAAGCTAATGATCTTTCTCCAGGTTGATCTGAGCACTGGAAAGAAAATGTAGGTCACCTTCCATGGACGATTTCAGTATATATATATATATAAGACATGAAATAGGAACTTTAAAAAATTAACTGTGTAGAGGTTTGCTGTGGAATCTTCATGATTATCTGCATTTTCTTAACTATAAACTCTGCTCGAATATATTACTCTCTTTTTTGCTATTGTTTGTTTTTGAGACAAGGTCTCACTCTGTCACTCAGGCTGGAGTGCCGTGGTGCAGTCATGGCTCACTGCAGCCTCAGCCTCCTAGGCTCAAGTGATCCTTCCACCTCAGCCTCCTAAGTAGCTGGGACCACAGGTGTGTGCCACCATGCCTGGCTAAAATTTTTCTCTCTCTCCTTTTTTTTTTGTTTTTGTTTTAGTAGAGAAGGGGTCTCACTATGTTGAAGCTGATCTCAAATTCCTGGGGTCAAGCTGTATTCCCGCCTTGGCCTCCCAAAGTGCTGGGATTACAGGCATGAGCCAACATACCCAGCCTCAGATATATTGCTTTCTTAACAGGCCTTCCACTTTGTTCAACTCTCTCGTAAAATAAGTCAGCTAACCTTGTATCTGTACCCTTTATGATAAGGACTAGCATTGCCTAAATATTTAATTAAATATTAAAATAATGCAACTCTCAATAATGACCTAAACAGAACAAAAGGGTGCAGAAGTTGCTTTCTGTTAATACCTGGCAGCAAAATGTTTAAAATCTGCCATTCTAACATTGTTACTTTTCAGAGGAAGAAATGCAAATACAAAGGAATTATTTGATAGAACTGATAATTTTGAATTCCAGTTCTGATCCACTAATAAACTGTTGTATTTCAATTTTATGATTTTTTTTGTGGGGGGAAGGTGGACAAATAATGAATTCTGTGGCTCATTTTCCCCTCCCATAAAATGATAAAAAGGCTATTTACCATTTATCTCAATAAGATCTTTTAAGAACTAATGAATAAATATTAATTGCTTTGCTAATTTTGTTCTGGCTTTTCAAAGTCCATCTCTAGTTACCTAGCCAGATATCATACCCACATGGGATCAAAGTTTAAAAACACCCAGGCCCCCACCTGAAATGGGGGCTTTCCTCATGAGGAGGAATAATTGGGAGTGAGACCGGAACAACAGGTTAATCCCTAATCATGGAGGGCTTTGAATGTTGGGCACTGGGGAGCCATGGTAGGTTTTGGAGCAGGATGAGTGGAGCTCTTTTTTTAGAACTGTTAACCTGCTGTTCTGAATAGGATAACTTGGAATAAGGAGGGTGACTGCCAAGGAGACAGCAGTGGTTGACAGGATAAGGAGAGAGCTGTTACTGGAACAACAACTCCTTAGGCCTTTTGGGATCATTTAAGCTAGTCTAGTAGTATAAGGTATAACTTGTTTAAATTCTGTGTCCATGCAATTGACACCTTCTTGCTTGGCTTCTAAGCGGTATATCAAATTGAGATAACGTTATTACCTCAAACAGTCATTGCCATCATGTGCAATGTACCTAAAAGGCTTTACTCACCTGATTCATAATATCCATCTTTAAAAAAAATTGATCTCATGTAAGAGGGAAGCTTTCTTTGTTAGAAAAATGACTTGATTTCTATCACAAGTATCAGACATGTGTATCATAAAAATATTCAAGCAGTACAACCAAGTATGAAAAAGGGAGACGAGCCCCTCCCCACCCACCTGGAACATACACTGTTGGCATCAGCTCAGCATCACTCCAGACATCACGCCTGGGTAGCTGGAGGCTGGCGAACAAATGGATGGATGGACAGACAGATGAGAGAAGGAAAGATCCGGATGTCATTACTACCTTGCGTTCCTTTCATTGAATGCCGAGGAGTCCAGTTCAGTGATTCATTCAGTCTTTCCCAATGGGAAGTTGTGGTTTTGTTTTAAGAAGCAGCAATAATAGATTACTATGAATATGGTGTAATTTTACCATCTTTATTATATATTTATCTATTTTCTTAATAGTTGGTTCATTAATTCCTAAGAGAAGCTGCTGTTTTCCCAGACCGATTCAGATTAGTAGTTTGCCCTCCAGGGTCGGGGACCTCTCTAAGACTAGCTGACCAAGGAGATGATAAGTAAAGTAACTAGGAAAAACATTGATAGGTCACATTTTTAGATTTTATCTAATATTCCTCTTCCTCTATAAGTCTTACATGCTCATTTTGAAAACATTGATCCTATTTTCCAAATAGGAGTTCTAATCAGCAAACAGCCAACTGACACAGAGGGGAGGCTGCGGAGGTTCTGCCTGGGGGTTTCCTGCAATGTAATGGTCCCGGGGCGCAGGTGGACCCATTTGCAGCCTGGTCAGCTCTCCCTAGAGCTTTGCGCTCACCCTGCCCTATTGCTGGCAAACGCTGAAAGGATGGGAGGAGAGGGGAGACGCGTGTTTTCTGTTGTTACTGCGTATTGCAGTAACTTAAAATGAACAAAAATCTGGGACAACCATTCTGTGTTTAGAGTGTTTTGACGCCTTTAAACTCGTTTTTCTTCATTTTATACAGAACTCCATGTATTCCCTGACAGATTTGTGGTTTGTGTCAGTCAGCTTGCATTCAGTCGTGATCTTTTAGCAAATCAGAATGAAGATTTGGTGAGTATGAAAAAATTCTACAAATAAGTCTGCTTAAATGCTGAGTTACTGCAAAAAATAGAAAAGAATTGTCTGCTGTTGTCGTTCAGCTGATGAGCACTCAACGCATGTTTTAAGGGAACAAGAAGAGCGCTACCTGTTTTACATGGTTATATCAACTAATTTGTGCATTGTTCTTCTTTTCCTGAAGACCATTTTAATCAGCAGTACCTTTTCCATATCAATTGTAAATGAGAAAGCAGCACATCACAAAAGCTGTGATGGTGCTTATGATAGTGTTTAAATGAAATAAAGAAAAGTCTTTACGTGAAATGAAGCGAAATCCACATGTTTCCACTGGAGGCTTTCATTGGGGTCAGTGGCTTTTAAATTTTATTCCATGGTGATTCACCGACATTTTCATGAGAACCAGTACTTTTCCCCAGTGTATTATTTCACAGCTGATAGGGTTCATTTTCTCTTTCTCTCTCTCTCTCTCTTTCTCTCTCTCTCTCTGTGTCTGTCTCCTTCTCTGTCTCCCTTTTCTCATGCTAAGTCTTGAGCTCCAACAGGGCCTGTTTCTGTTTTATTGGAGTTGTCTCTTCAAATAGATAAAGAAAACTGACTCAGAATTGCAGCTGACTGCTTTGTCTTTTAAACTGAGCATGTACACTTGAGAATCTCCTTGTTGCATGTGTGTGTTTGCTGCAGCCACGGTCCAGTCTGCCTGACTTCTACACAGAGTTTTTTTCCCGTATTTTTGGACGTATGACTTGAATCTTTAACGAACAGGGACATATGACTTGAATCTTTAACAAAGAGAAAAAAAAAACCAGCAGACATTAACCGGGCCATGAAGAATGACATGATTATTATGCTTCTAAAATAATTTATGGGAATATTAGATTACCCTTGATGTTTATTATTTTTTAATCCATATGAAATCTGAAATTTGGCCCACATCATCTAAAACCAAATCTGAAATTTGGCCCACATCATCTAAAACCAGCTTCTTATCTCATCTTAAATAAATACGTAAGAAGAGTGTTTCAGAGGCTACAAGGGTGAGTAGAGACCCAGGAAAAGTAAAGAGCAGAGAACCTGTATTTAAATTTAAATGTCTGTGTTTGGTGCAGAGGAACGTTTCGCAACAGCCAGTGTGGTTCATATCTCCTCTTCTTCATCCATCAGTCAAACTCTTAAGAATACACATTAAATGAATGAGGCAAATTTGGTGAAAAGCAGTAAGTTTGTCCTTTGAAATATGTCCAGGATGTTGAGTTGTCTTCGTAAACTAATAAATACTAAAGTGGCAGTGCCATGGGCATACATCTAAACTATAATATAGCTTAACTGATTCAGAGCAAGGAAGAAATTGATCTATGGTTTAAGAAAACAACAATTAACTGTTCCAGAAAGTATTATTACTTTCAAGTGAAATACAGGAGAAATTAGATCTTCTATCTGATATGCAATATTAATACTTAGTATCTTAAATTATTAAGGAGGGATTAAAACATCTCAATACAAATGAAATATTATCCCCCTTAGGGGCCTTGGTATTTATACAGATGTAAGTTTTCTATAGCGGCTGTCATATAAATCCTGTAATCTGGAGGACTTCCTAAACATTGAGAATTTTCATTCTGAAAATCTCACCAGTCTGAGCCTTTTACATGACTGAGTTCAGTTGCTTTATCTTTAAAATGTTCTGATAACCAGCGATAACATGACCAGAGTTAACCATGTTAACTTATGAGGAAAATGCCATTTCCATCACAAGGTTCGTTCCTTGTTTTGAGTGATTGTCTTTAGTTGTGGTCAGTTTCTGTCTCTTCAGTTGCTCATTTACTCCACCTCTGTCTCTTCACATACGCATTTTCCCAGCCACATATGTCAGCTACAGCCTGGCACTACTCAACAGCTTCATCTCCGGGCACAAGCTCTGTGTGTCCCTCTGCCTAGCCTGCTCACCTCTGCCACCTCCCCTCCTCACAGGCCTCCAGCCCACCACTTCCTCAGGCCTGTTGTTACTAGAAGCAATAAAAGACCCAGGTCAAGTAAAGGTCCCTCTCCCACAAATGGCCCATCAAGCCAACTACACCATCCTTCCACCAGAAGTGTCTTGTAGTTTAATTCTCATTGATATTTGACCTCTACAGAGTCTGCCTGTCTCAGCTGTTTAAGGATCAATAAACAGCCCTTCCCTTCCAGAACTGCCTTCTGCCTGAGAGAAGGCATTCTTATCACTCGTTCTATACTTCAAATGCCCAAAACCAGTGATGTCAGGCTCCTGTGAGTGTTCCCTGGACTTCCTTCAAGCTTTGAATTCTTGTATCACTTTACATGGATATTCACCAAAGGGCAGGAGCCGTGTCATTTTCTCTTGATAGCGATTCTCAAGAACATCTGACTGGGCAAGGCTGGGAAAATTGGTGCCCGCAGTAGCTATATTGGAGAGATTTCTTGGCAGTAAACTTCAGTTGTTTTTGTATAACTGTTGACTTAACTCACCCTTCGGCAGCCACAGAAGTGACAGGGGAGTGAACTAGTACTTGAGCAACAGCCTGGGTGCCTTACTCGTGCTGTAGCCTTGAGAGCACACTTTCCCTTTCCTTCATCTTTTTTTTTTTTTTTTGGATTCTCAATGTCTAAGTGACAAGTGGTTAGGAAATCTGGGAGCGTCTATTCAAAACTACTCTGTCAAGGGATTCTTTCAACCTGTAGACAAGGAAGCCAGCTGCACTTAGCTCCCCAGTTCTTAAAGGTAGTTGCACAAAAGAACTGCTGTTCCAGATCAGGCAGTACAAAGGGAGTAATCCCCCTCCTTTACGAAGCAGAGCGAATGCAGCCACGCTGCCCCTAAGCACCGCAGCACCAGGGAGGTCTGTCCCTGCTGTCACTGTTGGCGTTTCTCTTGTCCACTCAGGGACTTTGGTGCAGGGAGATCCTCTGTGTTGCAATAGCTCTGCACAGAGTGCCCATGTGCTAGGGATGTGGGAACTGTGATGTGTACTTTGGGAAGAAAGGGCATTATTATGAAATGAGTCATTGTATTTTTCTTACTAGAGTTTCTCATAAGAAATCTAAAAACTCTTGTAGCCTCCGTTTTGACCTATTGCTAGATATAGAACTGGGGAATCTTTTTGAGAGTTTTTACCTTTATTTGGTTTGTTTTTTCCTCACCTTTTTTTCCTTAGAAATATGAAGAACATAAAGTGAATTTTGATTGCGCTCAACTACATTCCATTCCAACAATATTTTCTTATTTACAAACCCAAGAGCCTATGTGGAAACTGTTTTCTTTCTCAGATGTAAAGTCCTGGAGCCTTTGGGAAATTTAATATTATTTATTATTTCTATTATTTCTTTGTTAAAGTTGTGTAAATAAGCATAGAACTCTGTATATATCTGGGACATTTCTGGGTCAGGACAAAGCTACTATTTCACTGTGTGTTAGTTACAGCCACTCCTTCTAGTCTCTGGAGATCAGCCTTCCCATCTGTTTTTACCATCACATTTTAACATAATTTGCTAAGTCCCAGCTCTATACTGGGAACTCTGGTAGGCACCAGGGAAACAAAGAAAAGTAAGAAAGCGCATTGGCCCTCAAGGAGCTTACAGTTTGGCAGATCAAGGCTGCTGAAGGAGATCCTGGTGACCTAAAAATGTCATTCAAATACGGCCTCCATTTTTCCTAAATATTTTTCCACTCTGCACCTGTATCTTTAACGGTTCCATTGGATCTCTTCTACTCTTCCTCAGAAGGGAAGTCCAAAATCCCCAGACCTACTTTTTTTACGTTTAAACCGAAGCTCTCAAAGTCTGTGATCCTTTTGGAAATTAAAAATGATCTGTAGTGCTATTACTGCCTACAAGTGGATATCTACATTAAGATATTTGAGTTCTCTACCTTATACTCTTTGAGTTGTGGTCAAGTTGTGAAAATAGCTGTTAAGACTCTGCAGACGTAGGCCAGCCACACAAGGCTGGGTCCTCACTGTAGCATCATCTAAGGATTACTGGGGCATCCTGTCAAGAAACAATATTGAAGCACTAACTCAGCTACTTCTCTTAAGGCACACTACTGTTTAGTGGTAAAGAAGTCTTCTTCTAGTTTTTGAATACAAAATAATAAACTACTGAAGGCTGAGTTGTTTTTAGCTTGGCTGTTATAGTCCTCAGCTGTGCATAACCCAGCCCTTTGTGGGCCATAGCCCTCCTGTCATTCAAGGGGGAGGGTATCAGATTATCTCAAAAATCTTTTCTCACCTGGGATTTCTATTGGAGGAAGCAAATAAAACTGTAGCTAAATAAAAACTACAGAATAATTTTGCACAAAGAAGAAATTTTCTTGCAGATTTAAAAATTGTGATTAGCAAAACTTCCAGGGTAGTTATATTTGATCTTAAGAAAGATGTAAGTAGAAATTATAAGCTAACATTGTAGGCCTTATGTTTTTAGAACAGAAGAAATAAACTACTTAACATTTGACTGTGCACTGACATTTGTACCCTCATGACAGAATCCTTTAACTTTCCTAAGAGAGCTTTTTCTTAAGTATAAATCAGATCATTTAAGAAAATAATTCTCTATTTTTGTGTTTAGAAAATGAAATAAGTAGTAGATGACTTTTCCAGGTTTTGCATGATCTATCATAGAGTTAAAAAAATTATTTTTCTTATTTCTGTTTTTTTTTTTTTTTTTGAGACAGAGTTTCTCTCTGTCGTCCAGGCTGGAGTGCAGTGGCGCAATCTTGGCCCACTGCAAGCTCCGCCTCCTGGGTTCACATCATTCTCCTGCCTCAGCCTCCCGAGTAGCTGGGACTACAGGCGCCCGCGACCATGCCCGGCTAATTTTTTGTGTTTTTAGTAAAGATGGGGTTTCACTGTGTTAGCCAGGATGGTCTCGATCTCCTGACCTTGTGATCTGCCCGCCTCGGCCTCTAAAAGTGCTGGGATTACAGGTGTGAGCCACTGGGCCCAGCCTTTGTTTTTCTTATTTCTAAACAACGCTAGTGG